AGAAATTATACTTTATATTGTTTGTAAGTTTGTGAAACTTTGGTTATTAAATCGTTGTTTGTAATAACTATTTGTAATAACTGTTATTGTAAATTGTATTGTTGTGCATATATTAAAAGTATTTGTATCAATCGTGTTGGCAAATATTATAAACTGACTATATATTAGCATATATTTAAATACTAAATCCAAAGTATAATTTAACTACTAAATTTAAATTATCAGTTAACTTAATTTCAGATCATTTGAAATTCTAAAACGTAACATTGGTCAGAAACAGGCTTCACAAGGTTGGCTGTATACCAGGTGTCAAATAACGTAAATTTTGCTTACAGGAAGACAAAAAACAACTCGCCTGCACTTATTCAAAGAACATTCCCAACAGACCAATGGCATGCAATGTAATATTCTTTTTTACAGATAAGTTGTGCTTCATCCTATAGTCATTTAACAAATATGTCTTATTTAAAATAAGCCTGAAACCACAACTAGCCCCATTTTTCGTATGAGTGAATTTAAAACAATATCCAATACCATTTTCATAGAGGAACATGATTCATATCACACTGGAAGAAGCACTGTGTGGGAAGGAAGAAGCAATGGTAAACGTACCTACCTCTAAGTCTTATGGAATGATATTATTAATGCCGTGCGTTATAAGGGCCACTTTCTTTGTGTTGCTGATGGAAATGGTCATGACGTTAGCTTAATACAATATACTGTGTTAGGCTGATTCCCTCATTATGTAAAGAAAAGAGGAATGATATAATGGAGTGGCTTACCTGGTAATGTGACTTAGTACTATTAAGTATGTTTTGGAGAGACACGTTACATCCTGTCAAGTAATTCCAGATACTTAAGATTCCATAGAATCAGCTCTTTTCGAGGAGGTGTCTAAGATACTTCAAACAGTTATCAATACTGATTGTGAGCATGCAAAATGCAGGAGCGTCGCTAGACACTGGCACACGAATCTTGTAAACACCTAGCGACGCCCCTGACAAAATGCTTACAGCCAAGTTAATTTGATGTGGATTCTCTGCCCAAGGTGCAACAATGTCACTGCAACTCAACATATTAGTTTCTTCTTAACCTTCTTGGTTTAAAACTCCTGATAGAGGTAAAAACAAAGTGTGACAAGGTGGGAACGCCCTTACACCAAACATCATTCCATTCCATGAATTACACTATTGAAAAAATAAGTTACTTGTTCCTTTTCTCCTTCCGTAGGACAGGTTTAAGACGCCAGAGGTTAGGTGAGAAATCTTCAGGAAGTCTCTGCATGTTTGTAGCGTATTTCTTTAGGTTGCTGTACAAGAAACTGTTATAACAACAATTTTTACAGCAAATCACAATTTATGGAACTTACAGAGTAACCTATAAATGGCTTCAAACGTTTTGGAAATATATAGTTATGTGAAATATGAATGTATAATAATGATATTGTTACGTCTCCGTTTGTTAATTAACTTTCCGTAACTTCGTTCCGACGAAACTTAAGCGACATAAGTTCTTTACTTAATAAAACTGGTTTATTCTTTTCGAATACAACTTTACCGATA